AGCCCCCCCCCCCCCCCCCCCCCCGCTGGTGTGTGTCCAGTGTCCAGTGACTCCTCATCTCTCCTCCCCCGGCTGGTGTGTGTCCAGTGACTCCTCATCTCTCCTCCCCCCGCTGGTGTGTGTCCAGTGACTCCTCATCTGGCATAGTGCTGGCATTTCTGCACAAGATGGGATAGCCCTACCTAGCTGTTCAACACCACACCTTGAGAGAAAACTCCTGGATTAGTGTCCAAAAATGGGTGGGCACTCCAAGGCAGGGGCCTCCTGTCAAGCAGGCTGGTTGAAGAGATGGTTCCTTGCTCCCTGGAGTCTCCCAAGCCCACTGCTGTACAAATGACTTAAGTTCACAAGTCCTCTTCTCAACCAGAAGGGGAGGTGACACAGGCCAGTAAGCCTCCAAAAGGAAACCAAAGAATGACACTTAGAGCATTTTGAGTGACGTGTATTTGAGTTCTTCAGGAGGGGGCTTGCGGCACACATAGCCTGCCAGTATGACATGACTTGTAAGAAGTCCCAATTCCTCACAGAGAAGGCCTGGCAGCACATGCTTCAGCCCTCAGAACTGGAGGCAGGCCAGCTGAAGTCCCTGCCTTGGCTACAAGAGTCCAGGTGGCAAAGCCTTGGTTCAGAGCGTGGGGAAAGGCACGTTCTTTCACAATAGGAAAGGTCACAAGGGCAAGTGCCTTCCCTGCCACAGGCCACCGCACCACAGAGTGCTTGGGAAAACCAAGAACAGAGAAACAAGCCAGGCCACACATTGCAACCATCTCCTCTCCAGGAACTTAGGCTGGCTGCAGGGACACCGGTGCTGCACAGGCCACCTTGTTGCTAAAGAGGCGTGACAGGCTGCGCTTGGCTGCTGGCCTGCGTGGCGAAGGTGGCGCTGACTGGAGGCCACGTACATCCCAGAGGCGCAGAGCGCCATCATGAGATGCCGTGTAGAGCACCTGGCCGTGCACCTGTGGGCAGGCAGGACAGCTGTCGGCCATGAGCAGACCACCATCAGAGTCTCCTCCCTCTGGGCGGCCCCTTGCTTCCCTGGGGCAGTATGGAGCTGGGCGGGGGAATCCTACCTGGAGGCAGTTGATGACAAAGGTGTGGCCTCGGAACACCCTCTGCAGCACTCCTGACTGGGCATCAAAGGCCCGGGCGCAGGCGTCCCCACTGCCTGTGAACACTGTGGACACACAGCAGCAGTACACTGGACCCTTCCTGGCTGCCACCCTGCCACCTCCCCAGGAACAGCACAGGGTGAGAGGGTGGTGTGACATCCACCTGCCCCACAGAGACATCCTCAGGGTCAGGTGGGAAGCACCTGAAAGCCTGTCTCAAGCACCTCTCAGGGGCTGGTGCCCATCTTTATCCCCTATTGAGTTAGCCAGACTTCTCTGCCTCCATGTTTCTAGGACACTCATCACATGCTCCAGGCTCTGCCCTGTCCACCCATCACCTGTACCCAGGGCCAGCCAGAGCCCATCCACCCTCCTCAGGAAGGGATGTGGCTTGAAGCAGAGCCCAGACCCCATCTGATTTCCCTCCTTGGGTCTTCCTCTGTCATAACTTGGCTTGGTAGTGCTCTGGCATCAAGGACACCAGAGCCCCTGGAATCCTTGCTGAGACATGGCTGAGTGCCACCCACAGTTTCTGGTACAATGAGGGAGCCTGTGACTCCTTTTTAAATCAGTACTGGTGAGGCTGGCAATGAGGGGCCCCTGAAGTAGCCAACTGTGGGAGTTCAGTGGTTCAGTTACCATCTTACACTGACTTCCCCAGAAGCTACCCCCGAACAGGCCAACAGTTCACATGGCAAACAATGCAAGAAGTGTGGAGAAAACAGGGATGAAATCACGTGGGGCAGAGTGGCTCAGGTGGTGGCGGCAGGGTGGTAACTAGCTCCAGGCTAGGAGGTAAGGATACCGGGCCACACACCCTTCAATGCCCCTAGGAGAGCAATCCTACTTGCTTAGTTTTAACTGTCAACTTGACACAACCTAGAATCTGCACTGTCTCAGTGCAGGATTACCTAGGTCAGGGTAGCCTGGGGCATGTCCTGATTGTTCACTGAGGTTGGCAGACCCTGAATGTAGCTGGGCCATGAACTGCATGAACGAGGAAAGCGGGCTGAGCAAGGCAGCACGGATGCACTGGCTTCTCTCCGCCCTTGACTACCCATGTGGTGTAACCAGCTGACTCAAGCGTCTGCTGCTATGACCTCCCTGCAACCTGGAATTGTAGGACAAACCCTGTCCTCCCCCATGTCACTTTCTGCCCAAGTGTTTGTGATCGCAACAGGAGAAGCCCCAAGGCCACCTGTATTCGCCACTCTAGGCCTGGCTAAAGCTGGCACCTCTGGACTGCTCCCTGGTCTTTAGTATCTATTTCTTACACTTCCCTGCCTTTGTCTGCACATACTTGCCCTTTTCTTAAAGCTTGAGGGTGCACAGGGCCCCAGGGAGGAGTTTCTTTGCTGGGTTTCCTTGGTTTCTTCCTTGCCTCTCCCCAAACTCCGGCCCTGTGGGACTGTGGGGCATCTTGAGTAGGCAGGGTCCGGAGCAACGCTTATTCTGTAGCCTTGTTGGCAAAGACCAAGAACCAAGCTCTGTCATAGTGAGGGGGCCTATGCAGAGTGGCTTCAGGACAGCT